CCACCACACACACACAAAAAACCCCTAGTCTGCATCCCAAATGTCACATGTGACATTAACTTTTTAAAAATGTTCCAGGGAAGATCTGGAAAACTACTGGCTTGCCAGGCTTCTGTTTCTACCAGACGAATCAGCAGAAACTATACGAATGGACGGAATTAGTCAATAAATAGATAATTGCCATCTACTCTTAAAAATCAGTATAGCTTTCGGAAGGCCTGTCTTCTAAACCTATTAAAGTTCTTTAGAGAACATCCAGACAGGGTGATCCAATTGATAGACTGACATGGATTTTTCACAAGGCTTTTAACAAAATTCCTCACCAAAGACTTTTACAGAAACTTGACTTCTGTAGCAAGAGAATGAAGGCCTTTGCATGGCTAAATAATTGATTGTAAAATAAAGTAAGAAACAGCTGACAGGAGTAAATAGCCACTTCTTAAAGGCAGTGAGGTCACCTGTGGAGTCCCACAAGGATTTCTGCTGGTACCCAAGGTATTCAACATATGTATTAATGATCCTGAAAGAGGATGAGCAGCAAAGAAAGTTTGCTGATAAAGGTAATTACTGGAGGGCAGAAAGAATAAGATTAGCCTTTGAAGAACCACAGAACAAGATTTTCTCTGACCATATGACTGAGCAATGAAATTACACATTAAATTCAACATAGATAAATTAAAAACTAAGTAAGCTATGTTTTAGATTGACTGAAAAGAAGATGGTCTCCTAACTAACCATCACTACTCAGTAGTAAAGTCCTATCTTAGGGTAACTCATGAAAATACTACGTCACCACTCAGGAACAGTCAAAAAATAAATGATGTTAGGAACAGAGAACACTGTTACTTCACTGTATAAATCAGTGGTTTGCCTACACTTAGAAAACTGTGGTGCCCTACGCAAAAACAAGAGAGATTAGCACTGGCGACTGTCTACAGGAAAGTAATAAGGATGTTCAAAGGAACTGAATGACTTCTGTAATTGGAACTACTGAGTTGGCTAAGACTTTTTCACTTGAAAAAGAAGAAAATCTAGACGTGAATGATAAATGTTCATAAAGGAAGTGACACAGAGAGGGAGGATATGAAGGGTCTATAGTCTCTCTGAATACAAGAACTGAGATTTATCAAATGCAGCTTGAAGAAGCCATGTTCAAAACAAACCAGAGGAGGTAGTTCTTCATGCAAAAAAGCATCACATCTCCTTGGCAAGGATGCTGTCCTGGCAAAGGATCCTCTGGATGCAAAGGTTTACACTGAGTCAAGAAGACACTGGACAAACATTTAGAAGAGAGAGCTGAAGTTTACTAAAACTAAATAACCAATTCACACCAAGTTCATAATTTTAAAGCCTATCATCTTGGGGTGGGAGGGAGATTACATTTTTCCAATGTGTATTATCATTTTAGGGGCAACTTGTTACAATTACTTCTTATACACAACAACCAGGTGTCTAAGCTGTACCTAACCAGTTGTCAACTTTTCCTAGTACTCTGTAGAAGACTGATGTCCACTTGTATTCAAGTTACTTTCAATTTGTTAAATGATGGAGACGCTCAATTCCCATTGTTCATTATACCTTCTACCCAGAAAAGATTAATGGTATTTGAATGAGGTCTAATGAGAGTATGAACAATTCAGTATATTATTTCTTAAGCATTAATAATAAATACTCTAATAGAATTGTAATCTCAGCAAGATTCTGATTTGGCAAATCACTGGAGGAAACACTTAATTTGAATCTAAAAGTGCTTAAAAATAAACAATTGATTAAGTATTCTTTGATCAGGGAAGAGCTTAGAATTATAAAAACGTAGCCTCCAGTCAGAAAATGAAAACACATTTATGTCTTATTTCAGCTACCATTCTTGCACAGAAATGTAGTGGTCAACAGTGTCCCCTAGTGGCAAATAATGAATAAAACACACAAGCTACTTGCATGCCAATTGAAGATTTTCATTTCTGGAGACAGGGAACCGCAAGAATTCATATAGCAAAGCCAAAATATATTTAGATTACATTGACTGTATTAAAATGAGGACGAGAAAAAACTTTGTACAAAAAGTTAACAATGCAAAAATCTTAACAATACTGTTAACCGGATCAGTGATTGAAAGAATGTCACGGATAACTTTCTTGCAGCCTCAGTGCTTCATTGCTGGTCTACACTGAATGACAGGAAAGGTGAGAGAGAGAGGAGTAACATCACGTACTCAGGTCTTGTTCTGGCATGGAGGAAGGACACATTCTAAGGAGACACACCTGAACTCAGGAGCTTGAGAACAGCAGGTTTTCTTCAAAGAACACATCAATACCCTGTGCATGATGTATGCATGCATTCAAGTGATATCAGTTATGTTGCCACCAAAAGAGGCACCTCGGCCTCCCCTCACTGCTTACTCTTCAGTTGTCATCACTATGGCACCAGTTCTCACATGGCTGCACCATGAACCAGACGAGGGAATGCATCCAACTTAACACTTGCTTTTATTTTTAGCCAGGCTAGCTTTTCATCCGGCTGTGTTCCCTTGCATGTTTCACCTTGCCCACATACGCATGGTTGTGCCAACACAAGTAAGACTGCGTGGCCAGGACTGCCTCCTCAGTGAAACTGTAAGACATTCATGGAGTTATCACAGTATGTATCACTCGGTACAAAAATGGAATATATAGTTGAAAAAACCCAAAGTAATAGAATAATACTGACTTCTACTGAAATATCCTTTCAAGAGCAAATGCTTTTGTGTGGCTACAGCCTTATAAAGGCAAGGTCAATGTAGCACTTACATCATTTACAGATTTTCCTACTTAAATACATATACCATGAAATACCACCATTATTTCAGCGTAAATACATTTTCTCTTCAGAAACATCACATTCACTAAATATATGCCTTTTATGCAAGACAGCATTACAGCTGCAGAACAAAGATAATGAAAAATATGTTTTATTATTTTCTACGCAAATATGATTTTTTCCCCATTTACTTCAAATTAGATTTGTTATCTTCCTAATGTGTCACTCAATCCACTGGGGTGAAAAAAAGAAAGAAAAAGCTTTAAAAACAGCAAACAACTTTATAAACCTGAATTGAAAGTCAATTACCTTATCCTCAAAGGCAGAGAAAAAAATTCTATCTGTTTAAAAAAGTGATTTACGCACACAAGAGAAAGAATCTTATTTCTATTTATTGAGGAGTTTCATGAACTGCCAAAGTAACAATCTGTCCCAGTAGTTCAAGTCATAAGATCAATTTCCACCTAATGAGAAAACAACATCTACTGTCTCCAATTCTAACCTCTTCCTTTGCGATGACAAGAAAAAAAAAAAGTCTTGGTGCACTGAATTGTGATCAGCGGTGCAGAGTCTCGTTGGAGGCCTGTAGCTGGTGGTGTTCCCCAGGGGTCAGTTCTGGGTCCGGTCTTGTTCAACTTATTCATCAATGACCTGGATGAGGGGATAGAGCGTACCCTCAGCAAGTTCACTGATGATACAAAACTGGGAGGAGCGGCTGACACACCAGAAGGCTGCGCTGCCATTCAGCCAGACCTGGACAGGCTGGGGAGTTGGGTGGAGACAAACCTGATGAAGTTCAACAAGGGCAAGTGTAGGGTCCTGCACCTCAGGAGGAATAACCCCACGCACCCATACAGGCTGGCAGTTGACCTGCTGGAGAGCAGCCCGGCAGAGAAGGACCTGGGAGTGCTGGTGGCCAACAAGTTGACCATGAGCCAGCAATGGGCCCTTGTGGTCAAGAAGGC